ATTTGTAATATAAAACCAGAAGACTCAGGTCTCGAGCGAGCTGGTTTTATTTGGAGCTGGTTCCAGGACGGGCTGCTCCAGGGTTTCCTTTAGCCTCGGGAGTTTTAATCACACTCAGCGGCTTGTGGAGGGAGGAGCTGGCCTTCTGGGTCACCTCCTGCTCAATCTTGTTCCTGATGGCAACCTCTAGACCCTTCAAGGAGCAGCAGAGGAGTTGGAGACAAGTTAAAGCGGGTCAAGCTCAGACCTGTACTCACTGTTAAATTCCTCTGATTTCCTGTCACTTGTCCTCCTCACCTTCTTCAGCTTCTGCTGCTGAACCACTTGAGCCTTCTTCGGTGCTATGATCCTCCCTTTATAACAGAAAGTGTCACAAACATCAACTTTCCTTTTTCAGATACTCTGAAGGTTTTTCCATCCGATGGAGCGCAAGCGCTTTTTGGTATACCCTGCAAAAACTACAGTCTGTATATGAAAGATGGATGTAGCCACCATGACATCACAGCGGTTTATGAATTTAGTGAATTTTGAGCTGAATGTTTGTTATCACCATCTTTTGAAATCATTTGTGACATTTGTTCACTCACGTGTCATTCAAAAGGCCGGCAAGAATACAGCATACTGTGTTTTATCTTCATTTGTGACTCTAATTGAGGTCATATTTTAAAATTTTCATTATGTATTAGTTAAGACTTTAATAAAGACACGTCAGAAAACAGTTTAAGCTTCCTCAGAAAGTTCACTTCAAGTTGCTCCTCATGGTTTACAGTTTTCCTTGATATCAAATTTAAGTCTGTAAGTTTACACTTCTCTCGCTCCCAAGTGCTGACATTTTGTCACATTTTCATAAAAAACAGGAAACTTGGGAGACTTTTTTTAACCAGATTAATTCTGATTGGATCACATCCAAACTCGTCCCGCCTTTCTGCACAAGTTCATTAGTTCTGAGTTTCTGTGACAACTAAATACTTCTTAAGACGCACATATTTCCGAGTTATGCCTTCCTGCAGCCATTATATATATATAAATTAATGTGATGTGCACAACTCTCTTTTTTCACTCTCCTATAACATTTTAGCCACTGTTCTATATATCAGTACTTGCACTGTGTACTATGCACCTGTGGCATTTTAACCACAGGTGTTTATTTATTGTAGACTGTACTATTTATATTCTTTATTCTGCTGCTGTAACACAATCATTTCCCTTGTGGCATCAATACCGTATCTATCTGTCACTAGCTTGCTAATTTTCCTAATTTGATGTTTCTGTTTTACTCTCGACCCCCTTATTTTTTTATTTGTACTTATTTAATTTTGTGTGCCTTTGAAAGGCTTTAGTGGGTTACTGGTTTCATTGTTGTTTAAATATTCGTGCTGGACAGACTGTCCACATGTTTGAGGTAAATAATCTGAAACGTGCTCAGCTGTTTACAGGCGGGTCACATGGTGGAGCTGCTGACCTACTAAAAATACTTCACACGTTATTGTTATTATTTTTAATCGTCGGGCTTCATTAGGGTAATAAATCAGAGCCATACCTCCTTTCTTCGGGCCTTTCTGTTTGCTCTGTTGTTGTTTTTTGGATCCTGGACGCTGAGCTTTAAACTTCTGCGAACCCTGAGCCATTTTTGCTTCCTTCCGTTTTTTCTTCTTTGCATAAAAAGGTGCTTTATAGCCTTCTTTTTGTCATTAGCGCCACCTGCTGGTTAATCAGCTTACAGCTGTTTAGTACAGCCTTGGAAATGAAGTTCAGTGCTGCATTAGAATCACACGAACACTTTCATAAACTAGTCTAAACCTACTTTGTCCCTTTTAAACTTAATTTACTTGGTATTCAAGTATCTTCTTGCAAATAAGATAAGATAAGAATAACTTTGTTTATCCCGAGGGAAATTCTTTTGTCATATGATATGCTCATAGCAGCAGGAGAGACAGAGGAACAGATGAATAAGATATACAATATATACAATAAGAATAGTAGTATACGGTAATATACAGTAGGATAGTGCAAAATATAGTATCAAATAACTCTAACAAAGTAACAATATAACTATATCCTGGAGAATAAATACCTTAACTATCAGTGCAGGCGATTCTAGAAGGTGACATAGTATTGTGCAATTGAATAAAGGAAGTAGCAGCGTATGATGGGGAGATGAAACAAATATTCAATAAGGTACTGTTGGGTGATATTGCACGGTCTGAAAAGGAACAGAATAACATTGGTATTAGTCTCAGGAAAATCACCTACAGAGTGAGGAAGAGTTGTACAGTCTTATTGCCACCGGTACAAAGGATTTACTGTGGCGGTCAGTTCTGCATTTCGGGGCGATGAGTCTTTTGCTGCGTTTTGCAAATGACTGCACAGTCTGTGCTGTCCGGCTGGCAGTGACAAAGCTGTAGGGCAACTTAAACCTTGATTCATGTGGATTTCTATGTAATAATGTGATATTTTCATTGTAACCTCTAACAATGTTTTAATTCAGCTGTTAGAAAATATGTGGCCATTTGTGCTTACCTTATTTAAGCGATTCCATGACCAACCATTTCTTCCTTTTAAATCACTCCTTAGTGGTTTTGTGTCATTAGCATTGTTATCCTTTTTAAAGGTCCAGTACTTTAGGGACAGGTGGAACCAGTCTTATTTTACACCTCTGACATCTGCTATCGCTATTCCAAGTTCAAAAGAGTCCTTGAAGCCATAAACGGTAGTGGATGCCCACTGAGCCTGGCAAGAGATTTAAAAAATAAACCTAGCACAAAAACTAAGGATATTTGTGTTTTGTTGATGATTTCTTTGTTGTGGCAGAAGGGACCAACACAACCACAGTGACTGACTTGTGACAAATGCTGGTTGAACAGCGTGTGGCTGGCTGGCCATACACTCATCCACTTATTCCATTTCAAGGTTGTGGTGGAAATGGAGCTTATCCCAGGTGACACTGTGAGGGGAAAAAAAAAGGTAGCACATACTGGACAGGTTGCCAGGCCCTCACAGCTAACACAAAGAAAAGAGAACCATAGTCTGTTCAGTCCACATCTACAGACTGTTTAGAATCACCAGTTAACTTAAACACTTGAAGGAAAACCAGAGTTTGAACATAGACGTCTTGCTGTCAGGTGGAATTGTTAACTCCTGTCCTTCTAGGACTGCCATCCCAGCAGTTTTATCCCATGTCCCCCAGTCTGCAAAATTTCACAGAACAATCTGCAGAAAAATCCTGCAGCCACTGGTGTTACTGGTGGTGGCAGGCACCACCAGTGGGTGTACACATTTGACCTGCATGGGAGGCCTGCTAACAAAAAGGCCTCAGTTTCCCAGTGAACATATGACAAAGACTAAGTATTTGGGAATGAAATGCTCTGGAGGGAGAAATCAAACCCACACATGTTCAAAACAGGAACCTTGTTGTGAGGTGATAGTAGCCCGCTCATCAGCACCTATGAGGCCAAAGACTTTTTAAACAGGTTACTTTTTATGTCATCTGTCATGTATTCCCAATTTTGCTCAAAAAATGACAAAAAGGCAAATTCTACTTGTGCATTTTTGCTGTGGTTTTACTTCTTTCCTTTATTGATGTGAAAGAGAAATCTCTTAATTTATGACTGCACTTTACAGCATTATATTCATATACGTAAATATATAAAAAAAAAATAAATAAAACCCAGTTCAGAACACTTTCCACATGTTACAAAATCAAACCCAGACCAGGTGATTATCAAGAACAACAACAACAACAACATACTTGCACTTAAAGAGGCCATCTGAACAACACTCCTTCCATGGTAAATGCAGACTGCACCAATCGCTTTATAATGCATACACATCTGCTATGATTAATCGAATCAACGTGGAAAGTACGAGACAGGCGGCGCTGGATTTTGGCACCTCATTATTATCCATGTTTTGGCCTTTTTGGAAGGAGAGGACTGCGTTATATCTTTTTAAAATACGGCATTATATTGCTGCTGCTTAAAAAGCATTAATCCATAACA